TGAGTTGTAGGGTAGCCGAGACTTCAGTCCAACATAACACACTATTTCGCTTTTAAACTTCTCTATTAGTACTTATCCCAGATGTTCTCTAACAAGTAAATTTTACTCTAGAGTCCAACATTTCGCACTATTTCGCTTTTAAACTTCTCTATTAGTACTTATCCCAGATGTTCTCTAACAAGTAAATTTTACTCTAGAGTCCAACATTTCGCACTATTTCGCTTTTAAACTTCTCTATTAGTACTTATCCCAGATGTTCTCTAACTACCGACCATTTTCGATTACCCACCCAGATTTTCTTAATACTTTTTATTTGAAAGCTGTCATCGCCCTTTACCTTCAAAAGTAATTAATCATTTTAAATATGATTAATTGCCCTCCTTAATTACCGATGACCCTCTTCAGTGGGTGTAGTTCAGCGGCATAATTCAATAAAAAAGGCATCAAAAGGAGTGAATTTCTGGAGGAGAGCGATTTGGGTAGTAACCTATAAAAATTTATCAACTGATGGATGATTAATTACCCTAATCAATCATGATTAATTGCCCAAATAAAAGGTAAAGTTTCCTTCGGTTACACGTCGCCCTTCAATGTCCCTCAAAACTCCTCTATAGGCGTGAGTTTTATTGACAGGTGATCAAATGGATGAGCGATTTGGGTTGTTCCAAAACAAAACTAATGCTTAAAACCCCTTTAATCCCATAGGATTGTCGGCAAGTTCAAAGGAAAATACCCCCTATAGGCTCAGGTTTGATGTGACAGGTGATAAATGGGGTGAGCGATTTGGGTATGTGGAGCGATTGGGGACTAGTTAACTACTTACTTTTAAAATTATAATTGTTAATTTATGTTCATTAAATGTTAAAATTAATTAAAAGAGAAAGGTGAATTTTGATTCTATATCACAAACTTTTTGTTAATTTTTTTGTTCTAAAAAAGGCTGAACCTTAATGGATTTTAACTAAAAAATGGATATAGAAAATACAAGTATATAGAAAATACAAGTACCTTCAATCAATTTTTAAAATTTACTTCTCCACTTTAAAATAGAAAAATTAATTAAAAACGTTAATTTCAACTATGAATATTTTTTTATTTTTAATTTTTATTTTATTTTTTGTTTTAAATCCTTTTCAACAAAAAATAGCAAAAGGAATGAAATCTTCAAGTAAGAAAATACATATACATATTTAATATTTAATTTAAATTAAATATTTAAAGAAGGAAAAGAAATTGTTGGAAGTACTTCACATAATATTATCCCTCCTTTCCAACCTCCACCTCAAAAAATTTTTATTTCAAAATTTCCAGAAATAAAATTTTCATTGTTTGAATTGTCTGTTTTTATTCGAATTTTGATAAAAATTGACGCGGAGATAATTATAAATAATTATAATTTGGGTATTTTAGAAATAATTAAAGAGTATAAAAAAGTTTTGGTAAATGAATTGAAGACTGAAGCTAAAAGAAAAATTGAAAATAATTTAGAATTTGATTTAGAGAAAAAACAGGAAGAGTTGAAAATAATAGAGGATATTTATTCTAAATTATTAAAAAGTAAATATTTAAATGATTTGTTTGGAAAACTTGAAGAGGTAAATAAATATATTTTTAAAAATAATTTTTTGGTAGAAAGAATATATTTTAAATTATTATTTTCTTGAAAAAAGGAAATTAGTTTGAGAAATGTAAAATTATATAGAGGACGTGCTGACATTAAAAATACATACCTAAATTCTTGATTTTCGGGAATTGTGATAATACGTTTCCTGCTACATAAATGGGTACTTTTCCGTTATACCTACTCCCTTTTTGCGGACTTTTTTTGCCGACTGCTTATGTAAAAAATGGTTCCTGTCTCAATTTGGTTCCTACTCCTTCCTGCCTCAATTTCATTCAATTTTTCTGTGGCATGTTCAATGAGAGAAGAAAGGGTTATTTTTCTTTCCAATGTCACCAAAATAAGTACTAACATAAATATTTAAAAATACATTTAAATTATTCAAAATATATTAAAATTAATTAAGGTTATCTCCTTCTACAACAAATTATTAGAAAAAATTGAGGAGGCAAAAACTCAGTCTTTGTCCAACACAGACCGTGAAAGTATGGAAAATTATATTCATGATAGATTTGAACAGTTCCGAGTTTCAAAGAATTTAAATAGTTTTAAAGACTTTTTCCGACCTTGGAATGCTTTATTTCTTGACAGAAAAAACATTAAACAAATTATTAAATTTGCTAAAAATAATATTAAAAGTTTAACGTAATTAAATTGTTTTAGTAAAATTTATATAAAATTTTGGATGAATATTATATTCTCTCTAATTGAATGCCACTTTGGAAGTCGTCTGAAAAATAGAATGCCATGGCATTCTATTAGAGAGACGGATTTTTAAATCAACTCAGTAGTTTATAAATGAATATTTTGGTATCAGTAATACAGAAAAATACCGAGCAATTCCGAACACTAGTATACAAATCCTCGATTTTTACTACTCTATTAATTATTTAATAGCAGTACTCATATATGGTACAAGTTACCCAGTAAATCTCAAATTTCCAATCATTGTTAGTTATATGTATTTTTAATTTTCAGTGCTTCAGCTATTACAAAAGTTTACAAAGAATGCATAAAGATAACAATAGTTGAAAGAAATATTTTTATTTTATGGCATTTATTTGGTTTTGCTAGAAGTCTTATTAGATCTTTCATTCTTTATCATGATAAAAATAAATATTATGATGAATTATTGTTTAAACGAGTTCTTTTAAACAATTCTAAACCAAAGTATTAACGTCTTAATTTTATATTTTTAAATATTTTATTTTAAAAAATACAGGGAAAAAATTGAAATTTTTAAATACATGGAAGCTTACGATATTTTAGAGTTTAAAGCAAAATTTTTGATGGATAAACTTGAATTTACTGGCTTTTATAACGAAGAAATTAAATTTGAATATAATAATTATGAATTTTGTAAGTGATTAATACTAGAGATCGAACCGTACCGATTACCGACGCTATTTATTGTTATTCCGTAAACCAACCGATAAAATTTTGAAGTTGATCGCTATTTATCGTTATTTCGTCCGTTCTACGTTACGGATGAAAATTTTAAAGTTTTATTTTGAGGGAAAGAGACTTCTTGGACTTGATAATTCTCAAAATTTCAGCGTCTTCGGCGCTGAAGAAGAAGAATGGAAGGATATAGAGAGATTAGGATATATTACGAATTGATTTAGGGGAAAGATGTTTATTTAAGGGGACTTGCGTTTAAGTATGGGGATTATGAGATATCTGTGGTTGTGGAGTTTTTTGAAAGCCGTTTTAATAAATTAAAATAAATTTATTAATTTTTTAAATTATTAGCTCGTGATCAAATGCTTATGACTTTAGAAGAGGCAGAATCAGAAGAGGATGTTATATATAGAGCAATCTTCTCTCCCTTCAAATTAGTTGAAACAACAGATAATCCACATATTGAAGTTTTTTTGAGTGTTTATTATCGCCAACTTGAATGTATTTTTAATTATTAAAAAATACTTTTACAGAAATTTTTAGTGCCAGAAGAAGCAAAATTAACAAGTCAAGAATGTTTAACTTTAATAACAAATATGGACATAGATCCAGAAAATTCAACTCCAAATATTCCTTTTTATTATTACTACCATTACAAAATTAATTCAGATAATTTACAAAATAAAGTTGAACAATTTATTTTAAATAATTATTTTATTAATTTAATTGTTAATGAAAAGGATAATTTAACTGAAAGAGAATATCTTAGTGAAGATGTTTTTGATTTATATTATTCACCTAATGGGAGTGCTGTGCCTCACATGCGTTTGGAATTGTTTACTGCTGTTTGTTCTTATAAAAAAATTTTTTTAATAAAATATTTTATTTATTTTAGATTGAAAATTATTGTGATGCAATTATAAATGAACATAATGCTAAACAAAGTGAAGAAGAACACTAAAGTGGGTGACATGTGGGGGAAGATACTGAGAAGGAAACAATGATTGAAAGGATGTAAAAGGAATATTTAGATATTTTTATTTTAAAATTTTTTATTTTTGGGTGAGGGTTAACACAAGAAACATGGAACGACAAGTCAAGGAACGACCAAATCATTGAATATTTTAAAAATCAAAATTTCTCAGAATTTTTTAAAATTGTTTTTTATTCTAATTTTTTTAAGTCTTATTTTTTTTAAATATTCAGATTTTTCAAAAAATTCCGATTTTTAAAATATTTCATAAGTTGGTCGTTCCATGTCTTTTCCCTGACTTGTCGTTCCTTGAGTTAGCCAGACACGTTATTTTTTGGGTTATTTAATAGAACGTTTCCTCGATGAACATTTTTTGGGATGTTTGGAAAATTGACGCTAACAAAAAAAGTCAAACAGACTTCTTGTTTTCTTGTCGGTGAAATTAAAAGATTATCATTATTTGAACAATTTCACAATTAAAAATTATTTAAAAGGTTATTTGGGGTTTTGATTTGATTTTTAAAAATATTTTACTTTAAATTTATTTTGGTTTATCGATAAATCTGTTGGAAACATTTTTTAATATAGAATTTTTTCGAGGCATTTATCGACCCGGGCCGGGACAATCGAACCAAACCGTTCGAGTCCTTTTCGGGCCAAAATTCGATGCCCGATCCTAAAAATGTTTAAATAATTAAAGTTTTTTAAAGTTTTCAGTGGCACATCAGTCATTTTTAAAACACCTTATAAAGTTTATTTTTAATTTTTCTTCTAAAAACAATAAAATAGATATACATAATTAATATTTTAAATAATCCATAATTATTAGAGCTGTCCGAGATCGGAGATTTTCCAGGACTCGGAACTCGAAACCAAGACTTAAAAAATCCGAGAAAATTACTGACTCAAGAACAAGTCTTGGACAGCTCTAAATAATTATTTCTAAAATCTTTTTTGAAACAATAAAATACAAAATATTAATTAAATTAAATATTAACTAATTAATTAATTTAAACTTTTACTTATTTGTAATTTAATTTCTGAAGATGAGGGCGTTATTATTTTTTGTTGTTGTCGTTGAGGTTCGAAACTAAAAATTAAAAAAAAATATTTTGGATTAAATATTTCAGAAAAGATAAATTTATATAATTATTTGATAGAAAAAGGGAATTTTGTTTAAAAAATTATATATTTTTGTAAAATTAGAAGAGAAAAGTTAAAAATTAAAAAATCAATCTCTTCGATAAATGACAATTTTTTCAATCAGAAAATTAAAAAAAATTTTAGGTTAGAAATTCCGTTTAATTTAAATAAAAAAACAAAATTAAATTAAAATTACCCATAAAGAAAAGTAGAAAGTATCACAATAGAAGCACCCAAAACAAATGTAAATGAAGGTTCAAAGTCATTAAGTAACCCCCAAGAAATAAAACTGCTCAACAAAATAGATAAAGAAACAGCAAATCCTTTGAGTATATTGTCGGCATATTTAACGACTAAAGCAATTACTAGACCTCCATAAGCCTTAAAATTTTTTATAAAAATTAAAAAAAATTTTTTCTAATCAAATAAAAAAAGAAATCCATTTTTAAAAAATTCTCCCGGGAAAAAATTTTAGAGTGAAAAATAAATTAATGAAAAATTGGTTAATATTACCACAAAAAATTTTTTAATTCAAATTTATATGTCCAAATAAATTCAAAAATAAAAACTTATAAAATTCTACTTAACTCCAATTTTTAGAACCAACCAGAAAATACCAAAAAAAAATAATTAAAAAAACCTGTAAAGCTACAACAATCCAAATAGTTGTATTGTATCCATGAAAAAACCCCCACAATTTTACTTGTTCCCAATCATAAATCCAAGTCATTGCAAAAGCCCCAAAAATACTGAAGAAAGCTTTAAAAAATAAAAAAAATTTATTTTTAAAAAATAAAAAGCAAACAAAGTAACAAATTTTGGGTCCAAAGTTGAACCTAAAAATTGAAAAAAAATTGATTCTAGAATTAAAAAAACCGAGGCAGTCTTTAAAATTCTCTCCAAATAAACCCCAGCAAATCCACTAGAAAAACAAGCAGCTAAAATTGCAAAAAGTCCAATTAATCTGTCGCTGGAATTGTGGTCGTAAGTAATATTGGGTTTGGAAGAATTTTTTGGAAGCTTAGAAAAAAATAAAAAATTTTAGAAAATAATTTTGGATTTGGTCAAATATTTATTTTAAGCTAGAAAATCTTTTGTAATCACTTCAAAAAAGTAATGACCGCTTGTTCATAAAAACTAGAGATTCGAGATTTTTGAAAAGCCTGGGTCTGTTCCTGGGTTTGATTTATTGACCTGGACCGGATCCCCCAAGAAGGTAAAAAAATGCCTGGGCCTAGACTCTGGGTACAGAAAACCCCAGGACTTGGTCCAGCCCCAGCCCAATCTCTAATAAAAACTCTGAAAATTTTTCAAAAAAACCTGTACAAGAGCTACCCCACCAGTTAGCAAAAGTAAAGCAATCCATTTTAAAATATTTAATTTTTTATTGAGCATTGTAACTGAAAAGAAGGCGGTTGTGAGGATTTTGAGTTGATAAGTGACCTTTAAATTTTTTAAAAATATATTTAAAATGTTTAAAAAAATTACTTGATATGTTGCCGCATCTAATTTTGAAAGTGAAAGAAATAATAAATTATTTTGAATAACCTAAAAATTAAAAAAAAATATTAAAAACTAAAAGATTTAAATGGAATAAAATTAGAAAAATAAAAAATTTTGGGAATATTGAACCTGACAAGTAAAGCAATCCATTTTAAGCCGAAAAATTTTCCCAATTGCCCCCCCCCCTTCAAAAAGAATTCTGGCTACGGCCTAACAGACCCCATTTTTTCTGCCCAATCTTCTCCCTATATATTTGCAGAATGGACAGACTTCTCCCTTCTTACATTCCAATTTTCCTTTATTCCATTAAGAGGAAATAAAAATTAATTCCATTTGATTGTAAGCAAAATATAGAAAGGCAATTGGAGTGGAAGGAAAAAGTCTGACCATTTTGTACATTATATGGGAGAAAGTTGGGGAGGAAAAAATATGGTCTGTCAGGTTCAATATTACCAAAAATTTCAAAAAAAAACTTAACCAACATAAAGCAATGCAGGCACACCAATTTTAGTCGTTTCATTTAGTCTATTAAAAACATCAGCATTCAAAACTCTCAATAACCGTTCAAAACTCCAATCATTTTGGAAAAATAACACAAAAACACAAGTTATAAATTTAACAATTTCTGCCATCAAAACTGCCGTAGAAGATAAATATTTGGGTCCTTCCCCTGTTTGTGTTCGGGAATAACGTAAAGTCAACACTAAAGCCGTTGTTTGTGCAATTAAAATAAAAAGGGATAACCATTTAAGTTTGTTGTTTTTAACTGTTGTAACCATTTTAGATAGGTTTAAAAACTCTAAATAAAAAAAAAATAAAAAATTATTTAATTTTATAATTAAAAAGGAAATCTTGATACCTGCACAAAATGTTGGGTGAGGAGCAAAACGAGGTTTTGTCGTTCTGTGTCGTATCCGTTCCGCGTTTTAGTCCGACACGCAAAATGGTAACCGACAAATACTCGACTAAAATAAAATATAAACAAAGTGGTAGTATTCGACGTCACGAATCGATCCGGATCTCAAGGCAGAAACAATTTCAGATTATTCCCGAACCAGAGTCAGAAAGAAAAATTAAATCTGAAAAGAAATCAGCTGATTGTCAGCTGACAAATTTGATCGAATACCAATTTGTCGCTTACCACTTTGTCGCATTTTCCCCTAAGTACCACTTTGTCGCCGTAAACTTTTGTGGAATACAGCAACCTTTCTTCAATCACTCACTCATAAACTTGATCCTTAACTTGATCTTTCTAAAATTAACATCATCGACTCAATTTGGTGGACCGGCTGAAAGAGTTTTATTTGAGTGTTTTGACCCAAATAAAAAATTTAACCATTTGGATATAAAAAGGTCATTCTAAAACAATATTTAGATTAGAGAGGATAAATAATTTGATATTATTTTCGAACTCTGTGTATGCAAGAACCTATTATAAACTGAAAAAAAACTTTAAGAAATTGAAAGTTGGATAAAATTTTTCAGAAACCTAGGATTGACAAAAAATTAAAAACAAATGAAGGAATGAATAATAAATGAAATTTAAACGGAAAATGGTGAAAGAAAATTTAGAAAGTCAGGGAGAGTAATAAAAATTTAAAAAAAGTTTGAAAAAGACAACGTGGCAACCGATCCATACTTGAAAATAAACATTTGAATTAAACGTGGTGGAATAAACTAATTTTTAAATAAAATTTAAAAAACTACACTGACTTAATTTAAATTTAAACTCATTAACTTTTAAAATTTGGAGAAGTTTTCCCTCAACTAGTTAATAAAATAGAGGTCTGTGCGGATATACTCCCGCAGACAAAATTAAAGTTACTCCCGCATGAGATCCCGCAAACACAATTTTTCCGACCTCTAGTTAATAAATCAAAAGTAAAAACCACCATTATTTATTAATATATTGTTGTTTTTAATGTAAGGTCTAAAATTAAAAATAAAAATTTATTCTTAACACTCATAAAAAATGAATTTTTATTAATTAAAAGAATCATTCAACTGAATTAATGATATTGGGGGATGAATAAAATGGACAAGAAAATGGAGGTAATTTATATTTCTGAGCTGAAATTCGATTGTTTTATTTGTTTTATTTTTGATTTTCACAAATAATGGATGGGGAAAATCAAAAATTTTAAAATTTATTTAAGTTTAATTAATCTCTTGTCCTATTGAAAGTTTCATCATCATCTAAATCAATCTCGTCGTAAATGTCTACAGCCATTGGGCAACGTTCACCAAAATACTTGTCGGCCTAAAACAAAATTTTTTTGTCAAAAAAATATAAAGAATTTAATTTTTAATTTTAAAGAAGGCAAAAAGCAACTAAGAAAACTCTCAATTTCCCCAACCAAAAACAAACATTTATTATTGCCAATTTATCAGCTTTTGATAGCAAGTAATACAAAAAGCTCTTCCATTATGTTCTTTAAAACTACATTTATCTATTTGTCGACAACAATTACAACACACTAATTAAAGAGCAAAAAAAAGTTAAAAAGCTTTTAAAATTCCAAAATTCTCACAAAAATGTTCTGGATGGAATTTCTGATCGTTTAAAGCAGAAATACACCGTCCAGTTATCGGTAAATGACAATGAGAGCATAAAGATCCTTGGCATGTATGTAAACATTGTTCACAAAGTAAACGATCAAAAAACACAAATGGAGCGGCAAAAAGGAAAGAGCGGCTACATCCCTTAAAAATTAAGCAAAAAAAAATAATTAAAAGCTAGAAGCAAAAAAAGAAGCAACATAATAATTAATTTTAAAAATATTTATTTATTTTTAACCACCTGACAGCAAAAACACTCGGGATGCCATTGGGTGTTTAAAGCATTTATGAATTTGTTTGTAATGGGTTGCTTACATCCTTGACACTTGGGAGCGTGCTGGCGATAGAAACAATCACGACAATAAGCAGAGTTGGACTAGAAAATATTTTGAGATTTAGTAACTTTCTCATAAATTATTTGATAACCCTTTCATGAAAGCCTCCATCGAGGAAAGGATGTCCACATTCGGCACAGACAAAATGCTTCAAATAATTTTTTAACAATTAAATTAAGTAAAAACAAACATCGACATGAAATGTTTTACCAAGAGCGGTTACACAACGCTTAAAAATAAATATTTTTTGGAAATATGTATATAGTAGTTAAATCGAGAAAATTGACCATTCTTTTAGACAATAAAAATAATTATAAAATTCTCAAAACAGACAGTAATTTTAAGTTGCGAACGGTAATTTTATAACATACCTCCTTAATAGATCCATTACAATAGTGGCATCTGGGGGAGAACATATCTAAAATAATCATTAAAACTTGATAAGAATAAAAATATAATGATAGATGCAGATAACTAGGGTTGGATTTTTCGAATCGGGCCGGCTTTCGAATCATTTTTTTCAGGCCTCTTTTTAACTCATTTTATCGAATCGGGCCCAACCCTACTGATAACACTTAGATAAAAATTATTTTGAAATACCGTGGAAGTCATTTTCACAATATGCCTTTCCTTGTCGCTCAAAAAAGTTTCTATGCCCAATAGGATCACCACACTGTGCACAGCAGAAATGCTCTGGATGCCACATTCTTCCAAGTGCTATTACTACAGGGCCAATAACAGCCTCCCCGCATTGAGGACAATCCCCCTTAGGTATTGTGTGAATCCCAAGTTTGTCTCCATCCAACATAGGATCTCGTTGAGCTTTCAAAGGCGTAGTAGTTGAAAACTGAAAAATGTGAAATATTAATGGGAGGTGAGGTTAGCATGAACCTCTGCAGAGTTGAATCCATCGGAGAGAAGGGGAGAGACTTCACCAACACGTTGGTGGGCATACGGACTGAAAATAATTATTTAACAATTAATATATTCATGTCACTCAAAGAAGCTTAACTACTGTCCAAACCACCTTTTAGATTTTCCACTGGATGCTTCTTTAAGAAGTCGCTCAGTATTATCAGCCGTCTCAAAATCGTTGTCATCTCCTGCCTTGCGTAGATGACCCTTCCGAAGAATTTCAGTTGTTCTTTGCAAATCGTTGAGAAGTAATTCTTTAAAGAATCATTTAAATTTTTATTATAAAGAGAGGTAATTTAAAAGAATAACCCTCACTCCCCCTTACTCCAACACCTAAGTTTCTTTAAATTAAAAAGAAAACTATACATAAAAGAGGTAATTTCTTAACCTAAAGCCGGCTTTACTTCATCTTCAAATTTGCCACGACCAACATCAGTACTTTTTTCTAAACGCATTTCTTTTTTCGATAAAGAAAAATTTATCAGATAATTTAAAAATAAATAAAGAAATTGAACGGAAAAATCAAAATGAATTGGGGAAAGGATTGATTTGTTGAAAAAAATGAGAAAGCTTTTTTTAGCTTTTTGATGAAAAATTTTACTGAAAAAAAAGAAAGGAACGTTAGAAATATTTAGCTACATTTGAAAAGAAAAGGAGGTAAAAAATAAAATTAGAACCAGCTGTTTCTTCTTCCTTCCCCTTTTTAATGTGAAATAATAAACTGGGGGCGGCAAAAACTTAAAATACCTAATAATTCTTAAATTTTATTTTTAATTTAAAAATTTTTAGAAAATAATTAAATAACCTAAATCACGTTGTGTTTTGTCCATTTTAATATTTTTTATCAGAAAAAATAAATCAGAATAAAAAAAAATCAGAAATAATTTTTAGAAAAGCTAAAAAAATATTAGTTTTATAAAAATTGATTGTAAAAATACAAAAATAAAGGGATTTTTTAGATAAATGGAAGGAGAATAAATGAACAAACATTCTTATGTTAAGCAAATAAATTTTTAAAAATAAAAGAAAATATAAAAGAATTAAGTAGAAAGAGAGCTTTTACTTTGAAGATTTACAATAAAAAAAGAAGAAAAAATTTTTGTTAAATCTTTTAACCTTTATTTTTTGGTATTATAAAGAAAGAGTTTAGCGAAAGTTTAGCCCGGGCAGGATTCGAACCTGCGACATGAGCAACAGCTAATGCTTTGTTTTTTCCATTTTTAGGGCGTTTAACACCCGCCTAATTGTAAGCGTTTTCTAGGTGAATAATCCTTACAATAATTTAGAGGAACAGTACCCTTCCAACCGTAGCAATTTTTATTGTTATTATCATTTCAGGTCTAAACAATTTATCAGACTTTAATGTCAAATTTATCAATCATAAAAACAAATTAATTAATTATAGGCATTGACAAAAATTGATTAATTATGAAATTAATGTTGAGTGGCATTCACCCCCTCTTAAAGCACTTTTTACATCACTCTTCATTAAAAATTATTATTTTATACAATGTAAATATTTAAAATATGTTGTAAAGCATATAGCTATTAATTTCCTAAGGCTGAGCAGTAGGCGGCGTGGTGTAATGGCTAACACATCAGTCCGGTCTACTGAAGATGCTGGTTCGCTCCCAGCCGCCGAATAACCTTTTGCACTAGCTAAAGGAGAGAAATAGCTATAGCCCAGCTGCTTTACTGGTAGCACCGGATGGTTCAGCGAACGCTGAACGAATGACGATCCATCCCATAGGCCCTGGGTTAGAGAAAAGGAAATTCCGCCAGAGAAGGCGATGATTAAGTTTACCCCGCAGGTGAGAGAAAAAGCGGGAAGAGGGCAGATAAGAAGACTAGGGACAGTCTTCCCTGGGGATGGAGGTGTAAAGCATATAGCTATTAATTTCCTAAGGCTGAGCAGTAGGCGGCGTGGTGTAATGGCTAACACATCAGTCCGGTCTACTGAAGATGCTGGTTCGCTCCCAGCCGCCGAATAACCTTTTGCACTAGCTAAAGGAGAGAAATAGCTATAGCCCAGCTGCTTTACTATGTACAACATTTGATTTTTGTTTTTTTTTTGTTTTAAAACAATATCAAATTAAAAATATTAACAGAATGTTACCTCATATTTTAGAGAATTATTTTTTATTTAAAATAAACAGTGTCCTCTACTTATTGAGAAATATTTTTTTAATTAGACATAGAAACTCTTAACTAAAGATCGGATCTCGGTTAGCGAGATCGAGATTTCTTCGAGATTTTTCGAGAATCGAGATTTTCTTTCAAGAATACGATCTCGATTCTTGTACAACACTTCAATTCCAGTCTCTGTTTTTAACTATTTATATTTACCAACATTTGGAGGATGAACGCATCCAGTTGTTTGCTCAAATATAGATAAATAAATATGTATAGATAAAAATTTCCGCAGATCGGACAATTTTAACAGTTTAATTATTTTAACATTTGGAATGTTTGATTAATATGAATGTTTTCTTTAAAACTTTTTCGAATTTTAGAAATGTTTATTCCACTATTATTAATAGTTTTATCACTTATTTCAAACTCTTATGCGAGCTTTGAAGACGAATCATCTTCATTTGACATCTCACCATTTTTAGGTTAATTTTATTTAACTTCTCGGCTTGCCCTAACTATTAATATTCCTTTAATTTTTTGCAGAAGAAGCATCACCTTCTGAACCAAAAAGTTTAAATCAAAAGCAAAATTTATTTGAAAAGCATAGGCAGAATTTTTTAAATAAAAAATATTCGCCCTTGTATAAGGAGGACAAAATATGGTCTCCAACAGAGAATGATTTTGGAGGGTATTTACTTATAAAATAATAATTTAGAAAAATCTTTTATAATAATTAATTCAGTATTAAAATAAATATATTAAATATAATTACTCAAATTAAAATAGGTGCCCAAAAGGAGAACAAGAGTTTGAAATTGGAGAAATGGTTGAAGTAAAGAATACGAAAAAATCCACAGGCTACACAGAATGGTTATTAGCACAAATTGAAGAAATCGAAAATGGAAAGTATAAAGTTCAAGTAATAAATAGTTCACTTTTCGGCGCAAAGTTTATTCGGTGTTCAAATGAGATAAGAAAATATAGTAGTACTGGTGACAACTTCCAGATTAACGAAATTGTTGAAATAAAAAATCGTAATGAATGGATTTTAGGAAAAATAATAGGAAAAGAAAAGGGGCAATATATTGTTCGCATTCAAAGTGGAATAAAATTTAGGCGTTATCCAAATGAAGTAAGAAAGTGTGCCGATATTGCAAATGAAATGAAGCATGAAATTAGTGATTTTTTAGAAGAAGCATCATCTTCTGAACCAAAAAGTTTGAATCAGAATAAAACTATATATAACAAGCACGGGCAGAATTTTGTAAACAACTTCCAGATTAACGAAATTGTTGAATTAAGAAACTATAATGAATGGATTTTGGGGAAAATAATAGGAAAAGAAGATGGAAAGTATATAATTAGTGTTGTAAGTGGACACGCTTATGGCAAAATTTTTAGGCGTTATTCGGATGATTTAAGAAAGTATGATTTAAAAGAAGCATTGAAACATTATGAAATTGGTGAAATTGTTGAGATAAAAAGCTTTGACCAACAAACAAAACAAACTAATTGGATTAAAGCAAAAATATTAGAAATTAATCAGGGAAATAATTGTAGTGTAGAAGTTGTGGATAAATGTAAATTGATTGGAGGTATAATTAAAAGAAATATTTATAGTATGAGGAAATTTAAAATTGAAAGTTTTCAAGTCGGTGAACAAGTTGAAGTATGCATTTATCATAAAATTGAAGATAAAACTGAATGGGTAAAGTCTAAAATATTAGGAGAACGAAATGGAATGTATATTTTGGGGACTGGAACAAATATATTGGAAGAATATCCATGTAATATAAGAAAGATTAAATCGGGATAAAAAAAGAATTCAAAATTGGTAGTAAAAGAAATTAATGTTTGAAAGATATACATACAATTTATTAGAAAAACAATTTTCTTTAAATTATTTTTATGTAAAAACTAGAGCTCGAACCCGGGCCGGGACCTGGTTTTCCGGGCCCGGAAACCGGATATTTTTATAAAAACCGGTTTTTCCGGGCTTTCGAGGTTTTTAGCCCGGAAGCCCAACCCGGGTCAACTTGGAAGAAAAAAACCTGGATACCGGGGCCGGCAAAGTGAAAAGTAAAAACTAAAATAGTAAAAACTAAAATCATTTTATTGAAATCTTTAGAATATTCATTATATTTCATATTAAAATTATTGAAAAGTTTAATTGTTTTTATGTCTTTAATACATATAATGCCCCCTTTTTGGCTGATTTCGTCCCCAATTTTGCATCATTTTTGAGAAGCTATGCCCCCTTTTGGTGATTTAAATAGACACACTAACACTTACATAACACTCTACACTGAAAAAAAGATTCGTCTTCCCTTAAAGCCGAAGATTCACAATAATTGTTATAATATCACTAAAACTTTTGCCCTCAACGAACTTGTCCTCTACATTCAATCGTCACTTTTTTAGCTTTATCTTTTGGGGTTAACAATTAATATTTTTACTTGATCTTTATTACCAGATTTTTGTTTATCTCTTAATATTAATCCGCTTTTATTTAATATTTCAATTTAGAAAATAAAAAACATTTTTTAAAAATATTTTGTTCTTTGGCCTAACATTTTATCATTCCAAAAATATATATTTAATATTTATATTGGATAGAAAAACTTTTTTTATTTAACAAGAAAATGCTTGTAATTTGATAAAAATTTATTTTTTAAATAAAATTTAAAAGATGAGTATTGGTGTCAATTTCAAATTCATTTATCTCCCTCCCTTTCTCTTTTTTGAAAATAAAACATTTTATTATAAAATAATATTTGAAAAAAATTTTTTTAATAATATTTTAATATTTAATTAAATTTAAAATTTTAAATATTTTACTAAATTTTTTTAGAATTTTTTATTATAATCATTTTTGAAGGTTTTCATGTCCCTGAACCCTAATACATATATAGAAAAAATAAACATTTTTAGTGTATTTTAGAAAAAGTTGTTTAATTTTTGTTCAGAATCCCTATCTGGGATTTTTAATGATAAACAAACTCTAATAATTAAAACTTTGGATATTTATTATTATGTTATACTTATAAACAAAAGTATTCTTAAAATAATATACTCAAATCTTACTTTCTTTCAAATTAAGTTGTCAATGATTTTGCTAAACTTAACAAAACAAAAATTAAAATTATTATTTTATTTTGGATGGGTTATTTTGAAAAAACAACCTTTCTCTCTCTCAAAGAATCTAAAACACTCTTTCTAATCCTATTTTCTAAAACGAGTTAATCCAAATTTAATTTAAATATGTAGAGTTAAAAAATATTAATTTAATATTTGTTATAAGAAATAGTAACGACTTCCTTCTTTATAAATAAAATAATGCTACATTTAAGTAATAGATTTTTATTTTTTAACTTTCAAATAAATCAAATAAATATAAATAAATAAAAAGCTTTAAGTAAATTACTACAAACTTTTTTGCTTCAAATTTTTTATTCTTTCTACGATAAAGGAACAAAAAATACTTTTCATTTTTTAAAATTTTCTTTGCGAAAAATTTCTAAATTAAATTCTAAACTTGAATAAAGATTTTAGGAAAATATGTATACTCAATTATAATAGTTTAATTTTTATTTAATTTACTTTTTATGCATAGCAGTTTAGAACTAGTTTTGGTCTTAACTTTCGATATCTTAGTTGAATAAATAATCAGTTTTCAGTTCGGTAAGCAATTTGATCTAATATATGTATTAGTAATTTTAGTTGGAACAGATTTAAATATTTTGATACCCCTCCCATCCCCCCCCCCCATAAGTGAGATGCTAGAAACTTTAAAAACGTCTTAAAAATTAAATCAAATAATTATTAAATTTATTATTAAAAATATTATTTTAGTAAGTATTTTTAATTTTAATAAATTTATTTTTTGGTTTTTAAAGTTGTACTCAAATTTATTTTAAATTATTTATTTTTAAAAATATTTGTCTAGTACATATTTGTCTACTTTTTATAACAAAGCCAATAACTAACAAAGAAAAAGGCTTTATTGAAGGCTTTATTTTTATTTTATTTTATTTGTACTTTAAGAGATTTTAATTTCTGCTTCACCAATTTTTATTTTTTTATTATATTAAGGGATCTCTGAAATAATTAATTTTTCATTGTTTTTCAATAAAATTTTATATTTATTTATTTAACGAACTCATTATCTCTTTATCTTTTTTTATTTATTTGTTGTTAAAGTAATTTTGGAATAAATAGAAAACATCCAAATTTTTAAGAAAGAGTCTTTAGTTTGAAGCTGATTTTTCGATTCGATTCTTATGTTCGGTTCCGGATATCCGAAGATTTTCCAGCAACCACACCGCTAATTTAAAATAAATTTAAAATATTGGGGAACTTTAACTAATTAATATGTTTAATGAAAAATTAATTTACCTATTTTATTTAAAAATATTTCTTTTTCCTTTCCCCAATTATTTAGTTTTATAACAAAATAAAAAAATAAAAGTAATTCAATCCTCGTTATTTATTTTAGAAACAAATAAAAATAAAAGAAAAATTTGTTTTTTGATGTTAAAATTAATTTAAAAATGAATGTTCAAAAATTAATTAATTAAAATATTTTTGATGTCATTGTTTAATAAATTTTTTTATTCTAACAATAGAGGAGAGTTTTACCCTCTTTTTTTAAAAAAACACAATAGTATAATATTCCAAATCTTACAAACCAAAATTCAGTTAGTGATATTTAATTCCTGTTTATAATTTATTTTAGACAATTGTGTATTTGTATTATCTATATTTATCTATATTTATTCTTATCTATATTTATGGATATCTTTGGAGAAATTTTTTTGGATTTTTTGATTGCTAAATAAAAAATTTTGAGGGGGGTGCATATACTTTTGGAACAGTGAATATTTGTATAAATGTTTATAAAAATGGAACGAGATGGGGGAAATTTTTATTTTTTTGTTTAAACATACACATTTATCTGGAAGAATATATAGACAAAAAGTCTAATCAGAATAACTGAGAAAAAAGTATAAAAAGTCAAAAAACTAGGGGTGCATATACTTTTGGAACGCAGTGTATTAGTTTCTCTCTCCACTTAATTACAGACATTCACAAACTTTAAACTTCAAAATCTAAATTAATTCAAATAATTAATTTAATTTACTATTTACAAGATATTTTTCACCGGCATATAGGCAAATATTTATCTATTTTAGATTTTAATAAATACATATACCTATTTCTAAATATTACGTAACTCATTTTATTCTGACATTTAAACCAAAAAATAATTATTAAACTGCCAAATAAATGCTACTTATAAACATTAATATTATTGGACTAGAAAATATATAAAATAATTATTATTATTGGAGACCGGACTTTCTTCTCTACCAAATTTACTTGCCTTGATTCTCGAAAATTTTTGACTGCGTTTTTCATTTTCGTCAATTTCTAATAATTTTTATTAAATTTTGCCTAAATATAGACAAAAATACTTCTAAAACCCTTCAAATTAATTCACTATTTTTTCTAAATTTTATTTAAAATGTTTATAAATTGCCTAAAGCTTTCTAAAGCCTCTCTTCTTTTCTAAAACCAAAAATCCTTTTTTAAATCCTTTTTAAGTTTTTCTCTATTTTTAGTGCCAAATTTTAACTTCCTTTCAAATAACACATGTTTTTGTGTTTATAAATCTTTACAAAAAATATAAAAAGATTTATTTTTAAAAGGAATTTTTTTCTTTGAATATTTTTTCTTTTTAATTTTTATTAAATAGATTTAAATTATTTTTTAAAAGTTTTTTTGAAAATTTTTGTTTAAAAGTCTTTCCTAAAATAGAAAAATCTTTAGAAAATTTTTTTTAAAAAGATTCAAAAATTTTGCTTTTTTATTTAATTATGTCGATCCAAGTAAAGAATAAATTTTTAGTTAAATAAGAGTTAAAGTTTTCTAATTAAGTAGATATATTTTAAGGCAGGAAAATATTTTATATTGTTTCTGTTAGTATTAGCGGACCCCGAGAATCTCAAATATCCTAGTCCGATATTATAATAGAACCGAAAATTTCCGGCTGATTTTATTTAATTTTAAATTATTTTTGTATATTCTTCATGTCTTAGTCTATTTTTTAATTTTAATTTATATTTTATTTCTACATATTTTTAAAGTTTAGGATATTTTGCAAATTAATTTTTCTTAATTTTCTGACGTGGTGATTTTTGAAATTTTTAAATTTATTATTCTTTTTTCGGAAAATTTTCTTTTTATTTTAAATTTTAAAAAGAAAATCCATCCTTTGCTAGCTCTTTGTTAAGAATAAAAGGCAGCAAATGGGTAACAGACCAAAACGAATGCCTAAAAGGCAGGATTATTTTAAAAATAATTTTGTTCCCTTTTTAAATAAATAAATAATTTTTTTCAAATCCAATTTATTTATTTAATTATTAAATTGATTACTCATATTTTTTATAATTACACATATTTTTTTGAAATAAAATTATTTAAAAAAAATAATCAATGAATCCTTTTTTATATCAGGCTGGGTAATTTAATGAAATAATGTAAAATTTATTTTAAGGATTTAATTTAACCTTTCAAAGCTCAAATTTAGAGAACCCATCTAATTTTTAAATTATTCTCCTTTCTTCCCCCTCCCCTTTTTTCTTTTCATTATTAATAAACTCTATTAGAATGGCCCCCTCTAATAGAATAACCCTTTGAAAAATGATTGAAAATAGAATGTCCAGCCATCTAATATAATGTCATTTCAAGGATAACATTTTAGCTAAACAAAAAATCTACAAATTTTATATTTAAAAACATTCCCCATTTATTTAT